TAAATGCAGAAGCCCATTATCATCATCTCTATAATGCATCACCAGCTGATCCTCACAGGCTTCTTCGCAGAAAGGTATTTCCTTATTCATGAGAGCGCTATTCGAAAAGTTCAACCTGCTTTAACCTACTTTTATGTGTTTAACCTGGTTTCACTTTGATACTGTGTTGAACCTTTGCTAGATTAAACCTGTGTTTTACTTGGTTTACCTTTGTTTTACATGTGCTAGGTTTAACCTGGTTTTGTATAGCTGTGTTAACCTGTGCCAGATTTAACGTGTGTTCAACTTGGTTTACCTGTGTTCAAATTGGTTTACCTGTGTTTAAACTGTGTTTTAACCTGTCTTGCGCTTGGTCTAGGACATGTTTAACTTGGCTTGACCTCTGTTTAACCTGATACCTGATTTAACCAGGTTTACTTCAATGTGAGTTTGTCTTGAGAGAGGGGATGCTCTTCACACATGCATGCAATGAAACCGAATATGTATCCAAGTCGTCTGAACAACTTTTAGTTCTCCATCTTGAGAAAACTTAAAAACATTCCTCCTGCACTTGAGGTATTCTGACGCAGAGGGAGAACTTTTACGTGGATAAAAACCACACATAGAGACATCATCAGTGAATGATAAAGAAATGGCTTCATACAGACAGTAGGATCCCAGAGCAAAGTCAGTATGCAGCCCTTGGTATTTCAAATAACCAGTGTATGCAGTATTTTTCTTTTTTTACCCTCCCTCATTCAACTCTTCGAAGCAGCAGGGGATTAAGTGCCAGATGTTTTGGGACCAACCCTCTGTCTCCGAAATATTTACCTGCTGCTTGGACACTTTGTACGTGTTATTTGTGGGTAATTAAGGTAAGTTACACATTTAGGAGTCAGGGTCATGGTTAATAAACCGGCTTCCACATGGTTTTAAGTCTTTCTTTGTTATAATTAATTTACTATTTATACATTTCTTCACTCTTGTTTCAGTGAGAGTCATTATGCTGCAAAAAAGCAGGTCCTTCCCTTGCTCTATTATTCAGAGCTCAGTCAGTCACAGGCAGTCATTAAAGTTTCATAGGAAGCAATTTGGTTGCGGAGTTATTTGCAAAGTGAGGTGAGTGCATAAGGTGGCACCATACCTTTCCCGTTTACGGCTGGGGATTCCATGTTTTTCATGAGAAGAGAGCGGCATGCTGTTCTCTTGAGTGGAATTTTACTTGATGACGCCTGTGGGAACATTACAAAAGACGACAGTTGATCATCAAGGAGTCAGCGGGGCCACAAAACACAACACATTATATTTGAGGAATGTTTTGACAAGCAGTCAAATTCCAGCTGTAAGAACTATTAAACTTGGCAGAGCTTTAAAAAGTGAGTGATATTGCTTCTAATGTTGAAAGTTGACTGTTTCTAATTTAATTATTGATCCGTGCAGCTCTGCATTGCTCGCATATGCCGGAATCGCAAAAGACAGCCCAAAAAAACTGATGAAATGTAAAAGTGAAAGTGGGTCATGTCAGATTTGTTCGACAACACAAATAAGAATTGATACACAGAAAACAGGGAATACAAAAAAAAACTGTGCAAAGGATGATTGCACGAGAGCAACGTGCTGTGATTGTTAAGTGATTATGAATGGAGATAACTGGCAATTAATCAATTACAGATGTGACAATATTCAGACCAACAAGTATAACACTCGGAACAACAGACCTGGATTTTATAGTATATTCATACAAATATAGAACACTTTTAAATATACCACGGATATGTGCATTTCTGATTTAAATGGCAGAATTGAATCTAAGCAACAATAGGTTGAGACAATTTGAGATTATTTCTTGGTTATTTTTGATATATTTTCTGATTATATGTTAATTTTCTTCCCTTTTCTGTTTTTTTTATGTTATCGTTACATTCAGGGTTCTTTCTGGGAACGTTTATGGTATCTTGTAGAAATATCTACGCTGCTGTGCTCTTGAACATTTTTTGTATCTTATAATTTAATTGCAGTTATTTTTATTGTAAGTACTGTATGCTGCCTTTTATTAACTTTAATCGCGCTCTCGTGGGGTGTGTGACTTTTTGCTAATCAGCACCAGATGATTTAAGGTGCTTCTGAGGGCAATCAGGCACAAAAATAGTTCTGATTAAGCAACATGTGAAACATGTAGCTTTTAAAAATAAGTCAAGTACAAGTGTCATTGTGTCTGCTGGAACTGAAACTCCTTTGGACCTCAACAATAAATCGGAGGACACAATTCATGATCATTTACATGTGAAATAAATTGCTGTCTTGAAAGACGAGTGTGGGTATGTTTTTCTTTCAATTGTATGAAGAGGGGATGAGGGGTATCATAAACCACACACCCTCTATAGAGTTCATAAAATGCACTCTCTTGGAACAGAAAGGTTGGCCACATTCCCACATCCTCATCCCCACCTTATATGGGAAACACATTTAGCTGGTTTGATGACTGTTAGTAATACAATGTAAAGCTCAGAGCTGGGTTACAATTGAGAAGGTTGATTTATGGAAGAGCAAGTAAGGCTTACTAAAAGGTATATGAGTATAGCTGTGATATGACTCCACTTATTTTTGGCAAGTTTTAGCATTAGAAATACAAATATGTAACTTAAATTGTGGCAAAGCTTTGCAAGTACTTTTCTGCGTATAATCGTGACAAACTAAGAATGTCACAATTGTCACAAATCCTAACAGATAAGGAAAATCTGGTAAAATGTCACTTCTATTTTTTAGCAGTAATGCAGCTCAATGCTCTCTTTGAAATATGTTGTCTTCAGTTTAATTAATGTTTGGAAGGTATCTCTTCAAATGTTATATATCAGTTTTATCTTAATCTTTTGTACTCATCAGGCCACATTTATGTGAGTATCCTGAAGGACATTCTACATTCAAACCTGTGCGCTGTGTATGGTAATGCATTTGCGTATACTTCCAGTCACCTTGTTGTGTGTGAGTGGAAGAGAGTGTGTGTGTGTGTGTGTGTGTGTGTGTGTGTGTGTGTGTGTGTGTGTGTGTGTGTGTGTGTGTGTGTGTGTGTGTGTGTGTGTGTGTGTGTGTGTGTGTGTGTGTGTGTGTGTGTGTGTGTTTAAGGTACATGCCCCGTCCTTCAACTCCAGTTAGCGTATTGATCTAACAATGGAAATTAAATCTGTGACTGCCGCTGAAGTGCTAAATGGATCAGTTTTATTTTTGTTGCCACTGATTTCTTGTCAAAAACTGTCTTCACTATGAGCTCATCAATGTCCATCACCCGTAATTAGGCTACTCATTAAGTAGGAGTGCAGAGGGACCCATTAGAAGTGATGACTTTGACCCTGACTCACAGTCCCATTATGAGGTCTTAAGACCACCCTTTGTTTACACGTGACGCATTTCAGTGTCAATAACATGCGAAACGATGAGCTGGGAAGAAATACCAGCTGAGCTTTCGTAGCTTATTTTCTTGGCAAGGATTAAAAAAGGGCTTTCAAAACCAAATAAATGAGATAAAAATATACATGCTTTGCGACCCATCTGTGGTTTTCCTTTCTTTGTTAAACCCACAACTGCCAGTCAAAAGTTGTTGTTTTCATAGCATTTCTAATTAAATAACAAACAATGTGCTTATTGTTAATACATTGTCAGAGAATATGAGAAAGCAAAATAAGAAATGTGTTACAGTTGATTTAGCTTACGGTGTCGTACCTACCTGTAGATTTGTCTCGCTTATTACTCTGCCCTATGGCGACACAAATTTGGACTTAGCTCATATTTTCATTATAGTTTAGCTATGAAACACTAATTTAGAATCATATCAGCTGATACAACTCGAATCAACACTTTAACAGGTAAGATAATTATAAATATATACTGCTGATACAGCGTCAGGTGCATTTAGGGTATACAATTGTTGTGAATGCATTAAACCATAGGCATTTCAAACCACAACCGTAAACAATTGGACTTTATATCAATAACAAAAGTAGTTTAAGGAAAGTACATTTACTGTAATGTAATTCAATTCCTTCTTGAGGGACTTTTGTTTTATGTTACTTCTGTTTCACTACATTACAATGAACACAATTGCTTATTTTAGCCCCTGCTAGCATTTAGTTACTTGAAGGTTAAGTTGTGACAACAAATATAATGAACTTATGAAGAGTAATAAATTCTAATAAAGTATACCACCCAATAGTATTAAGGCAAACATTAAGGCAAGGCAAATGTATTTATAGCACACCAACAACAAGGCAGTGCTTGACACAAAACATTAAAAGCATCAGACAAAGTGAAAAAAGATACACACTATAAAAGGATGGTTAAAATAAATTGTGATGGTTGAAGAGCCTGTATGCTAGAAAATTAAAACAAGCTGAAATAAAATGAAACAGATAAATACAAGAATAAAAGCTATGTGCAGTGTAAGAAATCAATCATTTGATATAAGGGAGCCGCTGAAAAGACGTATGGACAACAAATGGACAATAACCATCGGCTGCATTCAAATTAAATGTTAATGCATTAGTAATTATATTCCAACAACATATTGTATTTATATAAACATTAAGACTTCATTTACAGCAGCATTAAGAAGGGCCATTCGGTATAGTGATTATACTCTTGCTTCAGTGGTCATGTGTGTAATCACAATTAAGATCACAAAAATGTAACGACCATCTTTCTTTCTATTTAAGCCTGAGATTACATTTAAGAAAATGCTCAGATAAAGGCTGTTCAGAGGCGTTTGACTGGCAGCTCCTCACTGAGCACACAGATTACCCCCCTCCTTTAATTGATATGCAGGCTCTGCTCACGAGGACAATGAGTTGTACTTTGGTGAGAGCTTCGGAGAGTCACACATTGACCAGGAGAGGGCATCTCAAGTCCTGAAAAGAGCAGCAGTGAGCTCAGTATAATCCTACACCAACATCATTCCTGTTGCTATACTACTGATTTATTCTTGATGCCACGTTCACTGGGTGAAATCCACAGCAGACTTCGCCTTATCCCCCACATCTCCATCTGGATACAACTTGGGTTTGGACTTGAGTTTATTCCTCTCTGATTTCTTCACTTGGTCGGGTTTCTGGTGTCTTACCTGGCACTTAACCTTAACAATTGGCGACTCTGTGTTCAAAATGTATCTAGCCTGCCAAAGCATGCGCTCAACAGTGTGATTCTCATGAGGCTATAACAAGCTTGAGTGCCACCCAAACGGATTTGAAAAGGTGGCAGGATGAAATATGCATCATCCAGCTGATGTTGTTCGGTAACGTAGGAAACTATAGACGGGGGTTGATGCGCACCTTTTGGAGCTACTCACATCTCCGACAGGTGTGCGGCTGTGCGCAAAGCGGATCTGACTGCGGTGCAAAGTGCTAATATTCTCCGGGCAGACAGTCGTCCTGGGTGCGTGTCCAACTGTTTGGACTAAACGCCGAGTGTATCTAACATGTGGACCTGGGACGCATGCAACAGAGAGCCCTAACCATGAGGAGGAGCCGACACCGCGCAAATATGGGTATGTACACCGTTCCGCAAGGTACTTGTGCATTTCAAAGTCGTTTTCCTAATTACAATTCACTTAAAGCCAATGTCGCTGGTGTCTTTGCCCCCTGTGGTGTATGAGTGATGACTGCAGGCTGGGGGATCGGATGGAGGTTTTTCTCTCAGCAACTATTTTACGGATACTGCCTGATGCATGTGGTTATCAATCTCCTTTCCAATGTTCAAGAGCATGACTTTGACTGTGCTAATGAATGTAAGTGTGTGTCTAGATGCAAATGAAGTAGGCTGCAAATAACCCCTCTGATAAAAAAATGAATATGGGTTAAAATGTTTGGTCCCCTGATTCAGATAACATTTTATTCAATTTATTCTCTTCTTGTTTGTGTATAATAGTTTTGATGTCTATTTATGAGTGCTCATACGTCTATCACTTCTCTGTGTGTCTGCAGGACTTCTCTTGCTATTCAGATGGCTTGTATTCACAGTGGTGGTGCCCGCCTGGCTGCTTGCTGCTCCAAGTGGCATCCGTGAGCGTCCCTGCCCCCAGAGCTGTAGATGTGATGGGAAAATAATATACTGTGAATCCAATGCCTTCCGTGACGTGCCAAACAATGTGTCTGTGAGCACCCAGGGCCTCTCCCTGCGTTACAACAGCCTGGTGAACCTCCGAACACACCAGTTTGCAGGCCTGAGTCAACTAGTGTGGCTCTACCTCGACCACAATTACATCAATGATGTGGACGGCCAGGCTTTCCATGGGATACGGAGGCTGAAAGAACTGATTCTCAGCTCAAATAAGATCACACTGCTCAAAAACAACACTTTTCATGATGTTCCGAATTTACGCAATCTAGACCTTTCCTATAATAAACTGCAGGTTCTCCAGCCTAATCAGTTTGTGGGTCTGCGAAAACTGCTCAGTTTACACTTAAGATCAAACTCCTTGAAAACTGTCCCCATGCGAGTTTTCCTTGACTGTCGCAACCTGGAGTTTCTTGATATTGGCTACAACAGGCTACGGAGCCTCACACGTAACGCCTTTGCAGGACTCCTTAAACTCATCGAGCTTCATCTGGAGCACAACCAGTTCTCAAAGATAAACTTTGCTCATTTCCCCCGCCTGACTAACCTGCGGGCGCTGTATTTGCAGTGGAACCGTATCAAAGTGCTGACCCAGGGCCTGCCGTGGATGTGGACCTCCTTGCAAAAGTTGGACGTCTCTGGGAATGAGCTCCAAGTGTTGGACCCAAGTACGTTTCAATGCCTTCCTAATCTGCAGACTCTTAACCTGGACTCCAACAAGCTGAGCAATGTGTCTCAGCAGGCAGTGGAGGCTTGGATCTCCCTCACCACGATCAGTCTGGCTGGTAATTTGTGGTACTGTAACCCAAATATATGTCCCCTAGCGGCCTGGCTCAAGGCCTTTAAGGGTAACAAGGAGACCACTATGATTTGTGCCGGCCCAAAGGAGGCCCAAGGAGAGAAAGTGACCGATGTGGTGGACACTTATAACATTTGCACAGCAACACCGGCCCCCGTCCCATTAACAACATCTCCCCTCACCTCTGCATTTCAACCTGAGCTGCTGCCTCTTCCCACAGAGTCTGTGGAGGATAAGACGCAGATCTGGAACAGGACAGCCTCCCCTACTCCCTCCGAGGCCTACCCCACCTTCTCTTTGCCAGACACTGAGTATGTTTCCTTCCACAAGATCATAGCTGGTAGTGTGGCACTCCTCTTATCCGTGGCTATAATTCTGCTGGTAATCTATGTCTCGTGGAGGCGCTATCCCAGCAGCTTAAAACAACTTCAGCAGCGCTCGGGAGTCAAAAAGCGCCAGAAAAATGCACGGGAGACCGAGCGATCCCTTAATTCACCACTGCAAGAGTACTATGTGGACTACAAGCCTTCACACTCAGAGACTATGGATGTGCTGGTTAATGGGACAGGACCTTACACATACACCATCTCAGGCTCCAGGGAATGCGAGGTATGACCGTTGCCCTCCAAAAATCCATTTCCACTGCGAGGCATGAGAGGTAAATTTTCTAACAATCTGTGGAGAAAAAACGTTATGTTTTCTCCTCTGCTCTTGTCTGTTTTGGGATAAGGAAGCAAAGGTCAGTGCATGGTGACTTGTTTTACAATATGCTGGGTTTGTTCAGTTCCATATGATTACCCAGCTGTTGTTCTGAATCATACAGTTTTGCTGCTAAAATATGATTCCCATTAGCTGAAACTGCAGAGCCAGCTCTTCTCCCTGGAGAACTTACAGTAAGATGCATTATGCACAAAGGAGACCCATCTTTTATTTTTGACATGAAACAGCCTATTGATGAATCTATGTATTATCAGCCAGCCTATTATTTATTCACAAATGGCTTGCTGTCCACACAGGAATGATAACAAATCAAGTCACTCTGCAGGTGGTCCTTTCCTCTCCTGTGTGTTTGCTGCAACAACTGTAGTGGCAAAAACACAAGTGGTGTGAAATTTGATATCTGTTTTTATTTGCTTAATATTTACAATCATACCAGCTGATCATATGTCTCCTTGTCTGTCTCAAGCAAGCATGTACTTAAGATTTTACTTAATCTACAAAATTAAAATAGTCACTGCAGGCTGGAGAACACTATGGCCTGCAGCCAAATAAAAGATAAATTATGCATTTGGGCTCGATTCCTGTCTGGCTTAAGTGTACTAATGCAGTTACAAACTTCAATATGCTGCTTTTGTTAATCTCAAAAATATAACGACAACATTCGGCATCACAAGTGAAACTTTTGTCCTAAAAGTTGAAATTGACAAAGCCAGACTCCTTCACACAGCAGACTCTGAACCACTGTGTGACAAGGAGGGATTAAGACAAAAAGCCTTGACAGAAGGACTAATCAATCTGCTCATGCTTAATTAGGCACTTTTTCGCCTGTGTAGTCTTTTTCGTCCCTTAATGCTATGCATCTGTCTTCCTCTGTCCAGTATCTTTTTTTTTTAATTGGCAGTATGGTTAAAGTGTGATTAACAGGACATGTTGTGTTGAGGGAAGAGATTGTGTCACTGGAATCCAAGTTGAACCTTTTGTCGGACTAACCCAACACGTTGTAAAGTCCAGAGGACATCTTTCTTCTTAGTTATTTCTGTCAGTGCAGCTCAGAGACACAGTTTTTATCTAACACACCCACACAGCTCATTAAATATATTCCATATGTACCCTATGAATCATTCCCTAATATGTTTTAAGTCAGTGGATTGCACTGCAGCCTGACTCACATTCTTGTTTTGCCCTGTACTGAGGACACCAGAAAGACTAGCTGAAATGTGTCATGGTTTCCAGTAATGTCAGATACTTCGAGGTACACAGGTAGCTAAATCAGCTCTGTGTTAGATTATCTGTGGTAGAGCATTTCTCAAACACAAAAGTGGCTTGAGGTGAGATGGTCGGCTCATCAATCTTGTTGCTTCCATGTGAGAATGTGGCGTGGGAGCATTAAATGGCAGACCTAATGGGGCTTCTACTAGCTAGAATAACGAATAGCCCATCAGAGGTAAGGAGCTGAGACTTCCCTCAGCTTTGTTATTTCTTGCCCTCTACAGTTCAAGAGGGCAGTCTTAGTTGAGAAAAATGTAATAGGATTTTGTTGCCCCTTTCTGTGTTTGTGCATATTGGGCCAAACATCGCGAGGATACATAATACAGCAGGAGACTTTCCAGACCAACAGCAGTTTTTTTCATGCAGGTAGAAACAATTTCAAACTGTTCGATCAGCTGCATTGTTTAATCTATTACAGTATCATGTTTATTACCCATGACACTTCATCAGAATTATAGGTTGCAGTACAGGAAGCTCATAATGTGCGGTGATAGTGTCTTATTAGCATCACAAAACAGGCAATGTAGCACAATCTCTGCATATACAAAATAAGGTTGCTCCTCAGTTTAATTGAATGGCACACAGTAGATAGTGTAGAGAAAGATGGAAGAGATAGAGATGTGTCTGAAAAAGGCTTCTCTAGAGTTTAAACCCCACAGTCAGTATAGTCATCACCCCAACATAGTGAGCCCCTTGCACATTATTTTAGCTTTCCCAGATAGCAAGCACTTAAGCTATTAGCTGTATTTTCAATTAGGAGAAAGAGCTTTGTAAATGAAGTCTGTTATCTTCTGCACATGCCTGGATGAGCAAACTTGTATTAAATTTGTTTCTATAGGTTTCCTCCAGGACAGCTTAGCAGGTTGGTTTTGACGCTGCCATCCGAACCCGGCAAGTGTGCATTTCCATGAACACTGTGAACTGTGCGGTTACACAGCCTTCCTGTGGCTCATTATTTAAACAAAAAAAAGCCCTCTCTTCCCTTGAATGCCATCCACTTCTGAGCTCACAGAGCAGCTGCAGTCGTTGACGTCCGCCCACGGATCATCCCCAGCAAAGTTAGCTCAGAAAATATCACCGTGCAAATCCTACTGTCTTACCCGAAGGCGATCCTTGTACTTGGGCAGAATTTGCAAGCATTAATAAGGTGAGGGGTTCCTGCTCACAGATAATTTAAGTGGGGTGTGAGATCAGATGAAGTGAGGGGAAATGAAGGTGTTCCACCTCTGCTGCTGCACCGACTGATAAAAAGCTGCCTGAACTAGACTTAAAATTATTACAATTTTCAATTCCACTCATTTTTAAGCTCAGGGGCTTTGTAATGTAAAGGTCACCTATCATGCAAAATCCACTTTTTCATGTATTTTATACATAAACATGTGTCCTCTCTGTGTAAAGAGATTCTGAAAGTTTCAGGAACAAAGATTTGCTCACTTTTTGTCCGGATCCACTTATATAAAAACCTGCCTGAAAATGAGCTGATCAGATTTTGGCCACTTTATGATGTCATAACGATTTTTTGGCTTGTGTAACCATTAGCCAATCAATAACCAAGGTAACACCCACCCACCTTACCACCTGAATCTCCTCCTAGAGCACCATTGTCTTCTTTTGAACCAAATACCTCTCAGAGGGGCGTGGGGAGTAGCTCCTTCTTTTCATCTAAAGTAACAGACAGAGAATCAGCACTTTTGAAACAGGGCTGAAAAAGAGGGGATTATGGGATGCTACAATGATCTGTTTGGTATTTGGAGCCAAACACTTCAGAGACATGTTTTGTATATATCTGAGACCTATAATATATTGATTAAAAACAGTATAATAGGGGACCTTTAAAGTAACGATTTAGGCCAGCACAAGCCTTAATCATGCATTAAGTTGTTTTCATTTTTCATTGCTCTCTGAAATGTGGCACCCCGCATCTTCCTCGTGGTTATATTTCAAACTAATGGCTTCTCTGGATCGAACTAGTGTTTGCATCTTTCAAATCCTGCAGCTGTGGGTACATTTCATTCAACAAACATTTGTTTAATTCTTAGGATTTAGAAGCTGATCCCTGTCTTGAAAATGTCACGAATAAGAAACAAAGATGATAAGCAATCAAAATATACTGCTTTTTCTTGCCAACATGGCAGCTTGCACTTCATCTTTGCGTAAATGCACAGAAGGCAGGCTTTCATCCTGTGAAGGGAGTTTGACAGCCTTCAACATTTTTTGTTCACTTGCCAAATAAACGTTAACCACATGAGTAGAACTGCCTCTTAAAAAAGACGTGTCATTTCCTGACACATCTGTTTTTACGTATGTTGTGGGAAGAACGTTGGTGTAATTTATTCATGCTGTGATGAAAGAATACTGTATGATAAATGACACATCATTTGTGCTTTAGTCATTCTATAAAAAAGTAATATCCGACCTATGCCATTAATTCTCATTGTTCTTGGTTGCCTCTTTTTTAGTGGATTTGAAAATTGCTGTTACAACAAGACCGTATGGCAACGATCCATGGTTCCAAGAAGTAGAGTACTTAGCTTTTTATCATACCTGATGATTTTCTGAAAAATGGGCTTTGGTCATCTTGACTCGATTCAAACTCAACTGCAGCAAAATACAGGGAGAAACAGCCTTTTAAGTGACTTGGCTCTAATGGCTCTTACATAACATCATTTTTAACGTCATGTATTATTTATCATCAGTTGTTTACATGTATACACTTATGGAAGCTTTACAGCAACAGGATAAAGTCCAAATCCAATTTTTTTAGATGTTGAAAGCAACAGTTGGATATTTTGGTAATCTTAATCCCATCTTGTTAAGAGTTAGATTTATACTGCTCTCATTCTAAATGTAGCTAGCCTGGTTCTGTACAAAGGTAACTAAATCCATCTACTGCTAAAATGTCTCAGTTTACTAACATGATAAAGGCTTATCTTGTTTTCATCCAGGCAAATGTGTAAGACAGCATGCCCGTGGTGATATGGGGCGTTATGTGCCAGACTTGCCTGGATTCCTTAACAGTCATAACAAAAAAGGAAGAAATAACTCCTTTTCCACTCTTTATGTGAAAATAAGCTAACCAGCAGTAGCTTTATATTTAGTATACGTATCAATCTTTAAATAACTCCCTGCAAGACAGTGAAAAAGTATATTGTATGTCGATCTACTCCTCGAATGAACTATCCATACTTATCTGCTTTAAGTTCATATTATTCAGTATTTACTTAATCAATAGAAATCTATATTAACTGTATACTAGCCTATTGGTGCGAAAGCCAGTGTTTAAGTGTAGCATGTATGTAAAAGTGTCTAATGAGACTTTCACACCGGACGCACCTTAAGGCTGTGATTTCATGAGTCTAAACGCTGCAGTCTGATTCATTAGCTCCAATTATCATAATCAAAACTGAGGTCTATCTTTGGTGTTAAGCACCGCTCAGGTTGCTCTTTGTGTGGGGTGAGATCAACTCTAAATAAACATACTCTGCTATATTTATGATTCTGACTTTTGGCAGATGTTCCCTTCTGGAAGTGTGATGTATGCTGTGGTGAGGAGGTGGAATACATTTCACAAAGCTAGCAGCAGGAAGAGGAGACACGAGCCTGTGATCCAACATGGTTTGTTTAAACGAAGACAGCAATTTGGTTGCTTCATAATAATTAATCTTA